GAGTGCGGCTTTAATCTCATGCCAATCGGCCAAATTGTTTTCCTGTTCATTTGGATTCACAGACACCACGTGATAACCTGACCTGTCCCATAGACTTTAATCGGAGTGTTTGAATTTTCTACAGAGACTTTTTACGTGTTTTCCCACTCGTCTTCTTTGAAGTGCATTCTGCCACGAATATGTTTGTTGTTGTTGTTGCTATTAACTTGTTTAATTAATGTTCCTGTTTGCTGCTGAAAAGTGTAAAGTCAGGAACGTTTCGATTTAATGCAAGTTTTTCGCGCAGTCCGAGTGGTGTCTATAGCACCACGCCATAGAATTGCCGTCTTTCTATGAAAATTACCTGCTTTTCATGTCATTAAACTTCTCTGAGCAAAGGCACTGGCAGCTGTTTTGGTTTTGACCAATGGGAAAAAACTTTTTTCCTCAAATGTTTTTTTTTTTACGAAGAGGTTGGCTGTGAGACATAAAACAAGAGTAATAAATATTTTCAGGCCAACGCGTGGCTTCGTGCTTAGTTTATGACGATCGAAAAGCTTTGTACAGTTAATGTTAAGTTTAATAAATTAGTTTCAAAATGTTGTATTAATTATTTGGGGGAGAAAGAGATACACGTTCTCGGAATTAGTGGGCTGAAAGGTCAACAGAGTTTCGGCCTGTGAAATCAACCATCCGTGAAAGCTGTGCACCAGAACATTTGCTTCTAAATTATTTCTTTTTTGGGGCGAACTTGTGTTTCACGTAACATAGGTATTTTAAAATAAGTTGTAATGTTTTGGTTTTGTGTTTCATTGTGTTGCATTTCCCGGGAAATAATTATGAAACTCCTTTCATATCGCAATGCTGACCTTTCTGTAAATAAAACAAAAAGTTGGGGGGAAATTCCCCCCCCCCCCCCATGGTTAAAATGAAAACGATTGTCTGTCTCTTTGTTCATAAAACCTGAAAGATATGTACGGAACTAATTTCCATACGATCCCTGCAAGGAAAAGAATTCACCACGAATATGGTAATTCTATAGCGCATAGGTAGATGTTGTGGTTGTTTGAGTGCGGGTGCAGTTGGGTCACGCAGACAATGATGAACGCTGCATTGCCGACATCGTTACGAAAGCGATAAACGTGGAGCTGGTCGGCAGTGTTTTGTCTTCTGTCACAAATAATCCACTTTTCCGTGTGATGAGAGTGAGGCGGTCCAGAATTCACTTACTGAATGAAATAACGCCGTGCTGTCGTGATTCTATGAGTGAAGCCGACGCGTTTGAAAGGAGGCGACTTCACTCATAGAATCAGGCGAGAGCCCGCCACTCGAGACGACACTCAACCATTTTAATCCACATGTCATCATTTTAACGTATTTCCCTAAAATCTTGATATTTGTGTTAATTTTTTCCCATCGGCGGATATTTCGGGTTTTGCGACTAAAATCTTTTATGTTCCTCGGCCACGGTTCGCCTAACCCCCGCTTTCTCACGAGGTCTTGGTCTCCCACCAGCCGCGGTTTGTTTCCGGAACGTGGCTGGCGATTATACCA